ACATGTATCGCTCGCTCTACAATGGAAAGTGAATTCATAGCTTTGGATAAAGCTGGTGAAGAAGCTGAATGGCTTAGAAATTTCTTGGAAGATATTCCGTATTGGCCCAAACCATTGACACCTATATGCATACATTGCGATAATCTCGCTGCAATAGGAAGGGCAGGAAGTGTGATGTACAACGTAAAGTCTCGTCACATTAGACGTAGACATAATACCGTTAGACAACTAATCTCAAGTGGTATTATCACTGTTGACTACGTGAAGTCAAAGGATAATGTAGCTGATCCACTTACAAAAGGTCTTTGTAGAGATTTGGTTGAAAAATCATCCAAGGGAATGGGTTTATGGCCAAGGACAAGTTAGTACGGTGGTAACTCTACCTAGCAGACTGGAGATCCCAAGAACTAGGTTCAAAGAGAATACAAAGTCGTAACTAACAGTTCAACATTGTCAAATATAACCCAACTCATTCTCATGATGAGACAATGTTCTATGGAAAAGGGTAAATTATACGGCTTTAAGTTAGAAGACTTAAAAGCTAAGAAATTTTTAATGGTTCCTAAATTTGACATGATCAAATAGTGTATCTTCAGAGATGACACGCTTAGGAAACCACCTATGTGAAAGTGAAGTGTGGGCCGCTTCAAGGAGAATAATGGTTGGCCAGTTCTCTACGCTTTCATGAAACCAGACAGGTGTTCATGGCTGAAACGAACACAAAAGTGAGAACCAAAGACGGTTAAGAATTAATTGTGTGGTTTAGATTGCCTTGGTATACATAAAAAACCGACAGTTCAAAGATATCGCATCTACCGATTGGTGAGTATATCCGATTTAAATCCACTATGGAAAGTTCAAAGGGAAACCTACTTATCCAGATGCGATTAATTCTTCATAGTTGAATCACAAAGGTTGCATGGTTTTAAAAAGTTTTCTAAAATTCTCCATTCATGTGGGGGATTGTTGGAGTTTTCTTTTTAAATTAAATGAATGGAGATATTTTTATAAGTTACTCTCCAATTTGTTTACAAAACTTACATATATTTATGGCTTTTTTAAAATGTTACAAGTTTTTCAATCCTATAAATAGGAGGATTGTTTTCATGTTTTAGACACAACAAGAACACCAATCAAGAAAAACACAAAAGCTTTCTACAAAAGAAAGAAAATCATCTTTTTTCCTTTGTGATTCAAACCGAGCTTTGAGTTCGACAAGGCACCGGAGTTTGAAGTACCACTGTTCCGGTGAGGTACGTCCGTCCTATCCTGGGAGGATATATTCCATTAACCGTAGGTACCGCGCGGGGAATAATTTCCTTAAGGAGACACGGTTCGCCGTGGGTTCGGATTTGGTTTTCCGGTTTTAAAACAAAAATCATATTGATATAATGATGTTGGAATATATATATATATATATATATATATATATATATATATATATATAATGTTGTCGTGCTGTATTCTGTCTTTTCCAATATTTTTTTATGGACTTTGCAAAAACTCTTTCTGATACCCAAAAAAAAAATGTACATTAAAATGCCATGGTGAAACAGGAAACAGCAAAATCGACAACAAGATTATATATTATTGTGAAATATGAAACAACAAATGAATATTAGAATGTTTTAGTTTGCCGAATTTCTGTTGTTTGAATTGCTTTTTGTTTTGTATGTTGTCGTTATTCGGAATACCGATACAATGGAAACATGTAACCAATCTTACACATAAGTGACGTGGAATTTTGTGGGTTTTGAGGCTGGATCCAACAGAAGAACAAATATGGTCAGAGTGTTATATACATATACATACATACATATATATATACATGTATATTAACCACATGCATGTCATTTTGGTTGCATGCCAAATGCCACCTAGGGTTCCCCCAAACACTTCAGCGTTTAAAACACAAAGCTTCGTATCTGACAGCTTATGTCTCCAACGATGAAGTGATTTAGGGGAACTCAAGGGGACATTTGACTCTTTTCGCTTGCCTCCATCTTTACTCACTCTCAGAACATATACATACATATTTATAGACTTTGCCATATATATATATGTGGAATCTTCTAGAGGGACCGTTGCCAAAGATTCTCGACATTATCGAAAACGTGTGTAAGAATTTACGCTAATGAAGACGAACCTAGTCGGGGTTTGGTGCCTCGTGAGACATTGGAAAGAATCGTATATATGTCTAAAAGCAAGTTGTTGTATGTATCTCCCTATTCCCTCTTCTTGCACACAACAAAGACTATATACATTCATGGAAGTATATACCTCGTTTGTCTAGTCAACTGATATAAAGTTTTAATCAACGAGTGAATTTTTACGTGGATTATTATCACGTCAATTTGCTACCCGGTGACAAATATTACCCAAACATATATTCGTACGTATATTGGTTATATATAATTTCATTTAAATTTGTGCATAACCAACGTGTTCTTGTTGACGACCAAGAGTACGTACGTATGCGACACAAGATACGTAAAATATGTGAGTGCATACATAGAGAAGGTTTATAATAAACATTCGTGGTACGATGATGGAATATGTTTTTTCTTTTAAAGAAGAGATGCAACTATTATCTTGATAACTCTCTAACTCTATAATAACCCGAGGCATGTGTCTGAATATGTATCATGAAATACACGACGATTAGGATACTGAAATTCCCCTATAGAGCATTTGGGTCGTGATATTGTGTCTCCGGACCTCTAATAGTCGAATTCTTGGCCACCGACCGAAGACAAATGGAGAATGACGATGTGATTCCAACCGAGATTTACAAATTAATCGATCCTAACGGGTATGTGTTTCAGAATTCGTAATCCTAATTTGCTTACACATATATACACCGGAATCAATACGAGCTATATCTTTTGTGAAAAAGTTGAAAAGAAACTAGAAGCCTTTAATATATCACTTCAAGATATTATTCTTTCTTTGGGCTGCCCACCCCTTGCCTCTGATTTGCGTCCAGGTTCACATGCTTTAAGTTTTCTCATCTCTCCATTCTATTTGTACATGCATCTTCTCTAGCTCCCACTATAAATAGCAATGCAACTCACTCCATCTTCTCAAACCCTACAAATAATTCCATTTATATGCGTATATATGCGTGTGTTTTCTCCTCTTATGATATATATATACACTTGTAAAAATGATATATATATATGAAATATCATTTGGATCGGATGTCTCCTGGAGTTCCCTCGAACACTTCATTAGGGACATTTCTTTCGGGATACGAACCCTACTGAAGTGTTTGGGGGAACTCTTGGCCTCATTCGATTATCTCAATAAGTTTATGAGAATCTCAAAATGAATTAATATTTTCCCGTTACGTATATGCATGATCCAAATTTCCACACACGGCATCTTACATCGCAGTTATGTTACTGTGGTGTTTTTTGAGTTTATATGTATATATATATATATATATATCTATATATATGATGTATATATTTATGGCTGATGATGTCTTGACGACAGGTCCATACATATATATACATATATATATATATATATATCTGTGTGTGTATACACATGCATATCGAGTTAACAAATCTTTTACTCGCCGTCCTTGTTCCTCTTCGCAGCTTGAAACACGAACGCTATTAAACTCAGAGGGTTCTGTGGATAAGAGAACAAACTTACACATAATGTTGAACTCCAAGCTCTGTCTAACCAAAGTATACAAACTACTCGTACATATTATATATATATATATATATATATATGTACAGACACCAAAACAAGGTCGGTCAACTGAGATCTCCTATATGCTTCATCACCGGACACGAGGAGATTGTAGTCGAGGCGAAACCAGAATCGTATTTGGAACCAAAACCGAGTGCTTATCACTTGTCTTTGCTGTCCTGTCGAGTTCTTCGAGAGAAGACAAGACATCAGACATCTTCGGCCTCAGCTTAGCTTCATTGTTCAGACACAGCAACGCAATGTTTGCAGCTGCACAAGCGCCTTTGTGAGGGTACTGACCTTCAAGCTTAGTGTCCATTATCCTAAACACTTTCCTTCTGTCTCCTAAGTAAGGTATCGCCCAATCCACGAGGTTTTGTTCCGTTCCCACTTTCGATTTGTCCACTGTTGGCCGTCCCGAGATAAGTTCGAGAAGCACCACTCCGAAGCTGTAAACGTCACTCTTGGACGTTAACCGGCCCGTGGCAACGTATTCTGGTGCTGCGTACCCATGAGTTCCCATCACTTGTGTTGAGACATGGGTTTTGTCCCCTGTCGGTCCCGCCTTTGCCAGACCAAAATCTGAGAGCTTCGCATTGAAATCCTGCGAGTATACCGAAATCGTATAGCTATAGAGTGATCACATATGAAGCATGAGTAGTTTTTTTTTTCTCGAGTAGCTTGTACCGCATCAAGTAGAATATTGGAGGCCTTGAAATCTCGGTATATGACTTTGGCATCGTGAAGGAAAGCGAGTCCTCTTGCAGCACTGACGGCAACTTTCATCCTCGTTGCCCACGGAATCGGCTCTGCACCTCCTGCAAAAACCTCACATACATAACTATCCAGATCAGATATACATACAGACACACATATATATATACACATAAGAATTAGAAAAGAGATCAACTTTTTCATGTATGCAACACCATATATAGATGTTTGTACTTGGTGGGCAGGTGACTTACGTCTAAACAGATGATTCTCCAAGCTCCCCTTTGGCATGTACTCATACACCAAAAGCCTGTTCTCCCCCTCCAAGCAGTATCCGATCAGTTTGACAAGATTCGGATGGTGAAGTTGTCCAAGATAGTGAACCTCTGTCTGGAATCCATAATTCTTTAACCCGTAAGAAACCATCTTATAACTCTTAAATGCCGAATCTTGGTGTCTCAAGATAAGGTCATGAACATTACCAACCACTCCTTATGGCCTTGACGTCCTCCTGACTTAAGTTTCTTGACGGCCACGACCATACCAGAGCCGGGTCTCGAAGGCGATAATGTCCGCTCGTCCATCCATCCTTTGTAAACGTAACCAAACCCGCCTTCGCCGATCAGACTGTTGGGCCTGAAGTTTCTAGTGGCGGTCTTAAGTTCATTGAAGGTAAATGCTTTTAACGTAGGAGACGGTAAGAGTTCCACTTCGCTTCTCGGCGTTGGAAGAGATGAAACAGAAGAGCTCTTCTCGCTGTAAGATGGTAAGGTGAGGCTGGAGAGTCCTGACGAATGTGCCCTTCTGCGGGAAACTGTAGAAAAAACCGGTAAATGGATTTCACGTTGTGTATCATGCAACGGGAGATATGTGATCATCTTCAAGGACAAGGGCTTATATTTCATTCAAATTTCGCATGAATTCGACAAACCCAGAATCAAGAACACATCAAAATCCTATCTTTTTGTAAACTCCATGACAAGGATAAACTCGAACTAAGAGATAGAAAGACAAGCAAGGGTATTCGAGTTTCAGCACCTGAGGGGTTGTGAGGACTATCTCTGATATCTACTCTTGCAGAAGAATCCAAGCAATTCCCCATTGGAATCTGTGAATAAAGAGCAGTTTTTGTGTGGTCGAGGAAAATGGTAGTAGGGCAAAACCAGAGGAGAGGAAACAGGGAATAAAGACAGAGGAATGTGAAACGAAACAGGGGGAGATAAAGATCCACCAGAGACAGGAGAAAGACTAAAGCAAAGGTTTTTAAGTCTTTGAATCTGTCTTTGTCGTTTTGGGTGGGTCAACTGACTCAAGACTGACGTGAGCGCCACCATCACCCGCTCCAATTTACCTTTTTGTCCTCCGTCTATTTTTTATCCTTATTTTATTTTATAAAAAAAATATTGCTATCCACAATATTGCATGTAAAAAATGTCGTTTCTAAAATGATCATATAATTCGAATCGAGTTTATTTTATGGTAATACTCCGTAGCCAGCATGGCTTATACTGGAGGTGTTATTATTTTTTATTTGTATTTGGAAGACTAACGATATAATAATACTGAATTCAAGATCATGAATTCAAAACATATTTATTTTTATACTCACTCGAATCAATTATCTAATCATGTATACAAAATATTGTATTATATATAGAAAGATATTATTATTAGAATATTATTATTGATATGATTATGATTTACCCTAGATATTATGTCTAGATTGTATTTTGCTATATATTAGATGTATTCTTTCTATTATCAATAATAGAAAAATATTTCTCTATTATGGTATTAGAGATTCGGTTTTCGTTTTAGATTTTTTTTTCTCATCAACAATGGTAATTAAATCTCAAAGCGACGATGAAGATGATGATATATACTAAATCCAATAGTATTATCATCTTGAGCATCGTCTTGCATTCATTTTGTTCTTTTTTTCTAGTTTTATTTTTGACGACAGTGTTAATTACTGTCAACCCTAGCCGATGTGCTATTCCTTTTTTTTTTCTCTGACGACGTTCGTTTATCGATGTCAATCCTAGCTGTTGTGAGCTCTTTAAACATGGTTTTTAGCCTCTTTTCCACGTATTTGCATCACTTATTTTTATTCTCTTCTCCTGTCCCGCTGCTAGACTATCACGCATTATGCGTCGCGCTTTTGCGCCCATTTTTTTTTTCTCCGGCCTAGCCGCTATATACACCGCAGTTTTTTGCGCTGCCGACTTCATTGTCGTGCAACCCAATTCACGCATACGCGTCGCACTTTCGTGCCATATCAGCCTCTGAGAATACAACTCTCAAGCTCTTCAAACGTTATCAAGCAACACCGATTCAAGTCTGAACTACACTACCACATGAAAGATGATTCGTTTAATACTATCACAATTTCAGTTTTCAGTTTTTATGTAACAAGGTTGAATTCATCATATATGATTGATCTTGAGGGGGCATATAGGAATATATTATTATTAGAATATTATCATTGATATGATTATGATTTACCCTAGATATTATGCCTAGAATATTCTATTGTATTTTGCTATATATTATGATGTATTCTTTCCATTATCAATAATAGAAAAATATTTCCCTTAATATTGAGGCTTTTGGAATATGTAAAAGGAAGTTTAACTGAAATTTTCTTTTGAAATCCTTCGAAGAAATAAAGTATATTATGATGTATTCTTTCCATTATCAATAATAGAAGGATATTTCCCTTAATATTGAGGCTTTTGGAATATGTAAAAGGAAGTTTAACTGAAATTTTCTTTTGAAATCCTTCGAAGAAATAAAGTAACATTAAAAAATATTTTTTTTATCGGATTAGGTTAAAAGTCTACAATTCAAAGACGAAGCTATCTTTTTCTCCAAGCAAAACACACAAATTCCACCTTCGAGTAACTTTACGCATCCACCATGGTCAAAGCATTATATAATATGTGCGTGTGTGTATATATATATATAACGTTTCACATTATTGTATATACATACACATATACACGGTCGGTTGGGTTGGGTTAGGTGTAGCATATGCAAGAGTCTAGAGGCCAAACTCGCGATTTGATAGTGACTTGGGAAAAACTACCTGCCGTTTTCAATAATTCTAAAGGAAAACTACGTCGTTTCTTTCGCACCAACGATATGTAAGCCTGTAAGGTAAGGAGTTCAACAACTTATAGAGATACCACGCGGAAATCTCCTGTAAAATATCTCCGGTCAAAACGTCACCACCGTGCCGCCGGAGAGAAATGATGTTTCCGGTATGAATCGCTGGAAACCGGTGTATCAGTTGTATCAACGAGAGAGAATTATGTTGTAGAGAGAGAAGAAAATGGTGAATTATGAACTCTGTATTGATCGATGTACAACTCTAAGTATAAATACTCTGTTCGAATACAAACCTTCTACTTCTAACGCAGGTTTTGATCACATACTCTAATAATGTGTTCTCATGAACAGACGATGGTATTCTTCGTGAGAAGGAAACATCTTCATATAACTAACGGGGCAAGGGCCCAGGTTTATTACTTAAATAGCCCAGATGTGTCACAAGAATTTCTTCTGTACACAACCAAAAAATGCCTGAAAAAACGTTGCAGTTTGTACCCTACTTTTTATGACAAAAGACCTAAATATCCATTTAATGAAACGTTTCGTTTTGATTGAAAAAGAAATGAAACGTTTTTTCGCTTGAAAATCTGATATTAAAAAATTGTGAATATTAAATATTGAGACAAATTAAATGTGCTTCTCTCTCATCTCTCTCCCTGTTTTATCCCGATCGTGCGCATTTCCGTCCGCCATTGAAGCTCTGTCGAAGCTTTAAATCAAGCTTGTGATCAGTTTTTTTTTGTGCTTTCGAAACTAAATCTCCTATACAGGTATAATGAGAGTAAAATCCAAGCATTTTAGTTTATTATTGTGCCTTAAATTCTGTTCTAGGGTTTCATTTAAATGTCTGAAATTTTTGGGTTGTTGATGAGAATGACAAATTTCGGTTCATTTGACAGGATTATGGATGGTTTTGAAGATTGTTATACATGTATTTGTATTTGGTATGGTGGTTTTTGGGGAAAAAATGATGATGGATTGTTTGAATGGAAGGGAAGTGATGATTGTTCGAAGACAATATGCATTTTTAACAAAGCAAACGAAGTAACACACGAGGAACTTGTCGGAACTGTCTGTGCCCAGCTAACCGTTGATTTAGGAAAGACGAAACTGAGTTTTGTTCCAATTGTAATGGATGGAAACCGTCCGGAATATATAGTCGATGACATGGGAGTGAAATCTTTCCTATTTAGCAAAATTAATGGACGGCGAAGATGGTTATATGTAGAGCGAAAGGATGATGATGGAGTTGAGCTAGAAACGTGTGTTTGTGAAGTTGAGTTAGCGGTTGATGTGAATGGAGAAAAAGGAAGAGAGATTGTTGATGGTAATGGTTTAGTTGTGGATTTTGTGGTAGGAGAACAAGATGAGGAAGAAAGAGAACACAATGATGTGGAAATGGGTGTTGATTATGATGTGGTTGAGCAAGAGACTTTGCATGATCGTATACGACACGAGAATGAAGTGGTTGTTACGACCGACAATGCTAGAGTTGAAAACATGATAGAGGTAGCTACTGAAGTTGCAACGGAGTTAGGGAATGCAGTTACAATACAGTTAGGTACTGAAGTTGCAATAGAGTTAGGTACTGAAGTTGCAGATGATGGTGGAAGACGTGTAAGTGGAACCGAATGTTTCTCATTTGAAGACAGATTGGATTTTACGGTGGGAAAGGAATTTGACAGTAAGAAAGAGCTAAAGATGAAGGTAATGAAAGCTATTTGAAGACAGATTGGATTTTACGGTGGGAAAGGAATTTGACAGTAAGAAAGAGCTAAAGATGAAGGTAATGAAAGCTTCACATGATGCACGTTTTGAATATTATGTATACAAGTCCGAATCACAGATATGGGAAGCAAGATGTCGATTCCGAAGACAAGGTTGTATGTGGAAAGTTCGAGCAGTGGTTAAAAAGAAAACTGAGTGTTTTAGAGTGATGAAGCACGTGAATGTCCATACATGTACACCGTTGTTACAACCACAAGAGAGAGAAGAGAAAACAAACAATGGTACAATAGAGATGGTTGTTGCTTATCTCAAAAGACATTTTGCGGGATAAGTTGATCTTCCTAGAGTGAAAAGGTTGATGTCTTTGGTGAGCAAAGCTTATAAATGCAAGATTTCTTACATAACGGCATGGAGAGGAAGAAAACAAGCTCAAAATGCTGTTTGGGGGAATCCGGTGGAAAACTATAATAGGCTTCCGAGTTATTTCCATATGTTGAAGGAAAAAAACGAGGGTACGATAACAGAGATACAATTTGAAGAAGATGGACAAACTTTTAAGTATGCATTTCTTGCTTTGGGTGCTTGCATCAAAGGGTGGTGTGCAATGCGTAAAGTGATTGCCGTAGACGCAACATCTCTAAAAACGTCATATAAAGGCTTCTTGATTGTCGCAACAGCTCAAGACGGTAACCGACATTTATATCCACTAGCTTGGGGCATAGTTGATACAGAAAATGATGCTTCTTGGAATTGGTTTATGAGGAAATTGGCAGGAGTGATTCCTGATAGCGATAATATGGTTTTGATTTCGGATCGACATCAAAGCATCGCAAATGCTATTTGTGATGTGTATAGGAGAGCTAAACATGCATTTTGTGCGTATCACATTTCACAAAATATCAAGACGTTAGTCAACAAAGGAGTATGGGGGAAAAAAAACAAAAACGGA